TATATATATCAGTATATAGAAGCATGCTTACGTCATGTACTTTTCAACAAGTTTCTGTATTTAGTTGATCCAGAGGAGACCAGTGGAGGTTAGAATGAGTCCTGGCTGACTTTAGACAAGCCTTTTATTCTGAAGAATAAATGTAGCGTAAATATCTGTGTCTATTTATAATCGATTGAATTTGTTGATCTGCGTAGACCGAGTCGGACAAGTGACTTGACCTTTTTTTTTTTTTTTTTTTCGTTGAGAGTGCGATTACTACGCACCTATTTTCCAAGACACCGAAGCCAGCTATTACCAATGCAGCTCTTTATTACCCGTATTTGTTGTAGCAGATATCAACATCTTCAATCTGCCACCATTATTTGTATGTACAATAATCAGTACTTTTCACGCTTGCTCGTTCTCTCTCAGATATTTTCGCTCGTTTCACGCATACCAGCTCGTCTCTGTGCACGTGGTCGTGAGTGGCGCGTCGCCAGTGGCAGAAGAGACGGTGGTTTCAGATTTGGAAAATCGTGAATTGAGCTCTAAGGCTACTTGTTGGGTCTGCCAGCATAAGCGTATAATTAAGTTCTATTCGATATGTTGAATATAAGCCATACAGGTCGGAACCTAGGCATCTTGCCTGCTATTCAAATGGTCGTTGAGCACGCAAAGTGACGTTCCAGATCGGCTACTTATCGAGTTTAGTTGACGTTTTAATGCGATTGTATTCCCTATACAATAATTTTGAACGAGGCTCATTGAGCTATCCGAATATCCAGATCGACTTAGGCGGGGGTACCTGTGCGACCGGCGAAGTGGTCAATCAATGACTGATATCGTATCAGTCCAAAAAGGTAACAAGTTACACACCGAGTTAGAGACTTGCGTGAGCATGGGAAGTGTAAATGCGTTTTGGGGACAATGGAAGCGACAATCTCAAGTTGGGATCAGTAGACAAAAGAGTAAATGAGAACAGCATAATATACGTCTTATCTTGAGCGTCTCGCAATAACGACTCCACGGGACAACAAAGCTAGATGTCGCCTCAGATGAGACGCCGGCTAAAAACTCCCACTCCGCTACTTCAGGCGTTTTTTGCACGGCCGTAGGTGGTCTTGGCAATGCTCGTGGTCTCAGAATTTTTCCGATATGATAGCGCACTGGCGTCTCTCACCCGCCGTATGTAAACGGTGAGCTGTGTCATCTATCTCTGTGTCTGAAAGTGGTACAAACTTAAGGTAGACCGATTCAACATGTCAAAAGCAAAAAAAGACCCGTAATCAACAGCAAAACTTATGTTGCTCTCACCATGGCGGCTGGCGGCTTTTTCAGGACATGTGATGTGACTGTGTGGAGTCATGTAGGCGGACCTCATGGGATTTTGTCGGCGAGGGTGGGTAATGGGCAGGGGCCGATCTGTATTTTCAGAATCAAGATGATAATTAGTACCACGATTAGTAGCATGATTGTTATTTTTATTAACATGATTATTTTATGAGATAACTATATATATAT